GCATCCTATTTTCCTGTGAAGATGCATCTTCTTCGCATAACGCGTCAGCTTCTTACTACCTTCTCTGGATGAATTGACATGACCACTGAAGTATGAAGTAGCTGCTCCAACTTGATCCAAACGAGAACACATTAACAATTAGAGGTACTTTGAGCACAAGCTGACACATCAAACTGCATTGCCACATGCCATGCGTTCCTACCGCATCGAAGAGTAAGTGTGCTTCGGAATTTCTTTTTAGCAGGTTACAACTTGCTGTAATTTGTCATTTTGTACAAACTGTCTTTGTCACCAAACTTGGATCATGTGCAAGAATCCCTACCCTGAGGAAACAGTTTTAAACTTAACACTTCTCAAATCCAGGGTTTCTCCTCACGTCTTCCCACCCAGACTGCCTCTTTCCGAGTATTTCCAACACGTGTGAAAGTCATTTGTAATAAAGATCTTAGACCTGCCGCGAAGACCCAACAAGACCAGCCAGTGTCGTGCAATGCTTTATTAGTAGCGTGTAGATGGGAAGAGAGGATGTGGGCTGGGTGACAATGAAGAGAGCAGGGGAGTGGAGACCAAGTAGCCTGTTGAGACAGTGGAGACGACGGAGAGTGAAGAGATTACCCAGTCAAGCAGGCACTGAAAAGTAATTAAAAGTGATGCAATTTCGTTTCCCACTGTGCTGAATTGGTGTAGAGCGCACATCTGCATGGAGGAAGAGAATGCAGGTGAGAACAGTGCGATCACTTCGCATACCACACTGCCGACATGAGAGTTGAGTCGGGTACTGGCGAGCTACCACACTACTACATACATAATCGCCTTTCCCACTCACATGCATGGAGTGCGGGCTGGAGTAAAACAATCGGTGCGTCGCATATGTGGATTGTTGGTGGCCATCCGACATGTCACATACCACACACAAGTACTCATTTATCCACTGGATCCTCTCAAGTCTCAAGTAACATGAAATGCATTCCTGCACCTCTCTTTCCATCCATCTGGTACTATCACATCG